ATATTAGTTAATTACACAATAAACTAAATTATCATAAACCACAATATATTAATCTAATTTAGAACTAAATTATATTAAGTTATGTAAAACGCGTTAATTTAATAAATCTAAACGAGAAAGTTGGAAATTAACAGAAATTTCAGAGAGCAAAAAAAATTAACAACATACTTATAACTTCATATAAACTTTTAACCCGAGGCTTGTGTGGTGTCCTTAAAACAGATTCGCACTCTCACCGGACGTGCTTGAGTTTTAATCCGAGCGTCTGTTTCCCAGGATACAACGGTATATAGTAGAATCTGAGCACCGCAGATACTACTCTGACAAACTGATCTAGTATCCGAACAATATTACTAGAAGAACAAGACCTTACTGGATAAGGAATGCAGAAAAGAAGAAACTGTGTATGCAGGAATGTAGGTAAGATTTTCGAGTGTGTTAGATTGCTGGAGAATGAGCCTTTTTATAGGCATACTGCCCATTAATATTGTGATCATTGGGAATCCATTGGAGTTACTGCCCATTAACACTATGACCATTGGGAGTCCATTGAAGTTTTTGCAGTTTCAGAAACTCAAAGTCATTGGAGAAAGCAAAAACAAATTGCAAAACGTGGGCTCTCCGAAAAGGTGAATTTTGCTTTGTTCGGTCCGACATTCGTGTGCGCAGTTCGTGCCCGCACCCAAGTTCAAGTTCCGAAGACTATTTCGGTCCGAAATTTGCACCCCCTGTGCACGCACGTGGAGAGAACCTTTATGCTACACATGATTACACCATTTCAAAGTGTAGGCACATATAAAGTAGTTCATGCTTTCTTCATTTTCCTATGTGGGACAAATGTCACTTTTCTCATATAAACCATCTTCCAATGGCCAACTTTGAGCTCCAATTTCTCATTCATCCGTTAATCAATTTTGGCAAGTAAATATATGATTTCGATACTCTCNCACCAGGATTAAACCACTTCTTTTCGGAACTTTTATTGTCTTCTTCAATTCAAAGTCTAACAATTAGCTCTTCAACATTCATTTCTTTTCTTTTGTGTTTCAGATAATTCTTGAAATCTTTCCACGCGGGGGACAGTTTTTCAATAATTGCAGCCACTTGAAAAGTTTCACTCAAACTCATCCATTCGACATGAATCTCGTGAAGAATCACTTGGAGTTCTTGCACTTGACTGATAACTGTTTTGGAGTTCACCATTTTATAGTCTAGGAACCTACCGACAATGAACTTTGTAGCTCCGGCATCCTCAGTTTTATATTTTCGGTCCAAAGACTCCCACAACTCCTTAGTAGTTTTCATAGTACTATACACATTGTACAACGAATCTGCTAAGCTATTCATAATATAGTTTCGGCACAAGAAGTCCGAATACTTCCATGCATCAAATGCACTAACTGCTTGCACATCTCCTTCACCCTCATTGAGTTTTGGGGCAGTCTCAGTCAAGAATCTCGCAAGATTCAAGGTGGTCAGATAAAATAGCATTTTCTGCTGCCACCTCTTGAAATTCAAGCCATTGAATTTCTTCGATTTTTCTCCATGATTAACCGACACAGTTGGAGCCATAGTTTGACTCACAACATGACTTGACAACTTAGCCACAGTCTGTGCCATAACGGAGCTTGGCCTTTGAGCCACAGTAGAGCCCACATCCTGATTTTCAGCAGGAGCAGTTTGGGTCACATCAATGTTGGTTGGTTCGGTAGCCATTTCTGAAAATGAAACAAATATTAGTTTCTAATAAACAACTTGTTTATTTCAATAAAATAAAATAAACAATTTATTTACTACCAATGTGTATAGAATCTATTTTAAGTTTGTTGGAAATTATGTTGGTAGAATGATACCGAATTTACGGGTATCATATATGCATTTTAGATATTGAAATTGCACTTACCGTATATGCAGCTTACCGTATTTACAGGCTGTATACCGGATGTGCACAAACTTGATTTTACGCATACAATAAGATTAAATACCGAGTTTTCTCATACCGATTTATAATATTAGTTAATTACACAATAAACTAAATTATCATAAACCACAATATATTAATCTAATTTAGAACTAAATTATATTAAGTTATGTAAAACGCGTTAATTTAATAAATCTAAACGAGAAAGTTGGAAATTAACAGAAATTTCAGAGAGCAAAAAAATTAACAACATACTTATAACTTCATATAAACTTTTAACCCGAGGCTTGTGTGGTGTCCTTAAAACAGATTCGCACTCTCACCGTACGTGCTTGAGTTTTAATCCGAGCGTCTGTTTCCCAGGATACAACGGTATATAGTAGAATCTGAGCACCGCAGATACTACTCTGACAAACTGATCTAGTATCCGAACAATATTACTAGAAGAACAAGACCTTACTGGATAAGGAATGCAGAAAAGAAGAAACTGTGTATGCAGGAATGTAGGTAAGATTTTCGAGTGTGTTAGATTGCTGGAGAATGAGCCTTTTTATAGGCATACTGCCCATTAATATTGTGATCATTGGGAATCCATTGGAGTTACTGCCCATTAACACTATGACCATTGGGAGTCCATTGAAGTTTTTGCAGTTTCAGAAACTCAAAGTCATTGGAGAAAGCAAAAACAAATTGCAAAACGTGGGCTCTCCGAAAAGGTGAATTTTGCTTTGTTCGGTCCGACATTCGTGTGCGCAGTTCGCGCCCGCACCGAAGTTCAAGTTCCGAAGACTATTTCGGTCATAAATTTGCACCCCCTGTGCACGCACGTGGAGAGAACCTCTATGCTACACATGATTACACCATTTCAAAGTGTAGGCACATATAAAGTAGTTCATGCTTTCTTCATTTTCCTATGTGGGACAAATGTCACTTTTCTCATATAAACCATTTTCCAATGGCCAACTTTGAGCTCCAATTTCTCATTCATCCGTTAATCAATTTTGGCAAGTAAATATATGATTTCGATACTCTCACGGAGGAGAACACAGATCAACTTTGATCTTTCAAATCGGACCAACAGGTCCCACTCAAACTTATGCCAAAAGTGACCAATTTTCTCATTTTTCCAACACTTTGTACATGTTTAGGAAGTGATTAATTTATGATTAAGTAATTATAAGTTGTGAGTTTTAAGAAAATGTATAGATGATATGTGAGTAGTAGCTGTAGATCAGACGAAAGTGTGGATAAATTTATATTTGACCATAAGGTATTAAATTATAATCACTTCCCAAACAAGTTGCTAGCCTACAAGCTTGTGCGAGCAAGTACGTCATGGATTGAGCGTAGTAGTCGACATAGTTTGACACCTCTAATTGTAATTGCTATATACATGTATATGGTTACAAATATTGTATTTAAATATAATTTCTATGGAAAAGGTATTTAATAAACACGAATACGATCTAGACGTGTAGAACACTATTCAAACTTGTAAGAACATCTTCAATACATTCTATGAATTTTATCTAGGTGGTCATTTATGTCTAATGAATCAACATCGATTTCAAAGTTGTTCACCAATGAATTCTATTTACGACCCAATAACACTATCTGTATGTCTTTTATTTTGTTTATACATAAAACTCAAATTGCATGTAAATCTGTATAACGAACATAAAGAGTGATATAAAGGATTGATACTCATACTCCATAAATGCTAGAAATTTTTTCATATTAGAGATGATCGAAAGAGTGGGGTGGTTACAACGAGATACTCAAAGAGATCTTTTTGTCTAACAACTTTGCTGCAAGAGGCAAGTCCCATGGAAGTTTCAAAAGATTCAATCCAGGGATTTTGTTGGGTGATAAAGTTGAATTATTATTAACTCAAGACTGGATTTGCATTGAACTTGGACTCCTAGTATATTAAGCAAGCAAAGGATTATGTATTCGGCACTGACAAGTGACACGGGCAAAGGTCAACTTTCGAGATCAGATCATTGTCCTTGAGAATAGAAACATTCTAGGATTTTACAAGCATTATTGCATGCCACAAAATCATTTTTTGTCAATTAAATATGCAACAATGTAAATAAAACATATAGTCCTATTACATCGTTTTAGTCCTACAGACTGATGATGTAAAAAATATGTAGATCAAGTTGTTTAAATTTGGAGCATCCCAAATACACGAAAGCACGACCTGAGTCACCTTTTACGGTCAAGCTATGCTACGCTCGACTTTAGAGGCCTGGGGACTGAGGGTCGAGTCATACAGCAATTAATTAGAATAGTAACAAGTCGGGGATAAATGATCAACTTATATTATAACATCGATTATTATTATTTTAAAAGATCCCACCCCTACTTCGTCGCTAGTGAGAAATTTTTATCATGTCCACTGGGAGAAGAAGATCAGTTTTATTTGAAAGATATATTGTATAATCAAAATTAGAAACTGTGTGAATTTGACTAAACTGTTGTGTTAAGTATCGCTGACAATTGACAAAGACTTTTGTACTAAACCAACAAAAACTTCAACATAATTCATTGACATTTGGATTGATGGAGTCAGTTGATAAATACAAGTTCATCCGTAAACCTAAATGCTTTTGTTGACGATTTTCGTTGACTAAAAATATAACTTTTCAGTATTTGCAAAAAATTCCACAATAAATGTTTATACCAATACAAATTAATATTATCATTAAGAAGCCAAAGTCTAAGTTGTAGTAAATTCCACTCTTTAAGCACTATCATCTAGATTGATGTTAATCACTTGTAATGATAAAAACATTATTCTTTACGTATAGTATGTTTTTTTGAACATGTAGTGGAATTTTTTTAATGGGCCGACAAGAAGCTTCAATGCTGCCCTTGATAGAGGCGACAACCTTTGATTCCCCCACTGATTTCGCAGTATTCTCTCTCCCTCATTCACTCTCACGACATAAATGATCACTATTTTTTTTTTAACTTCATTTCCATTTAAGGTTGCAGGACCAATAAACCTTTGTAGTTTGTATCTCATGTAATCCAAGACAAATACATCTATTTTCCCATTTTATATATCTAACCACCTTCCATAGTTCCATTCATATTTCTTCTACAAGATTTACACACTCTCTTTCTTTGTGTGTGTATAATTTAGCGGGCTAGGCGAGGGTGGATTTTCTATATAAGCTAGACTTCCCAGCCTATCTACAGTACTACACATCCCTTATAAGTTACCAACTTAATTGACAAGTTAATTCCTTGCTTTTTCTTTTCCTCTTCTACTCATTAGCCATGAATTATGAACCTAGTACTTGTCTAAGTTTGGGTTTATCAAAGAATGATCATTTAAACCTAGACCTAGTACTGGACCCTTCTTCTCCAGGTTCTTCATCATCATCAACATTTAGTCCGCCCGAAGCACCACGAGTCTTCTCTTGTAACTATTGCAGAAGAAAGTTTTACAGTTCACAAGCTCTAGGAGGACACCAAAATGCTCACAAACTGGAGAGAACTTTAGCCAAGAAAAGCAGAGAATTTTTAACGTCTCACGCTGGGTTGAGTCGACGGGCTGGATCGGGCTTTAACAAGCTAAACAACATGCACGGGCCCATCCCCGGGCTTGATCATCGTGGACAAACAGGTAGGTTTAACAGTAATATAGAGAATGGAAGACTTGCTGAAAATTATGGCAATTTGAACAGCAAATTCAGTGAGTGTGTTCATGAAGAGTTTAGTAACCTTGATTTGTCTTTGAAACTTTGATTCAAGCCAGGAATATTTCATGTACGTTATGAAAGTTTAAGTTGTCAAAGAAAGTACATATTTATTTATCTAAATTTGATCTTCAACGTAGGCGTATGTTGAAGGTAAATTTTAGATAAGAAATTCGTACCCTCTAACTAGATTTTAGATGAGGGTAACTTCATTTAGTCTTTAATTAAATCTATGTTAATCATCAGCTAATGAATGTCTAAATATATATTTAATTTCCAATTCTAACAGTTCAAACCTACCAAAAATTTTAAAGAATATGTTCGAAAATACTGGATAAGAATTAAAGAAACAAGAGAATATTTTATTTCTTTAATAATGTACAATTTTTATTAAAATTTGAACAGTTCTTTGAATAATGTTACTTAATCCTATTTTACTTATAACTTCAATATTAAGTGATTAACTAAATGAAATGTAAAATTTAATTATATGTATTATTTAATATCATATTAACGTTGAGAATGTATAACATTACTCCAGTTCTTTTGGCAAGTTCCTTGTATTTGTGGAATGAAATCTTGACTCCAGTCAATAAGTCAGCGTCGGACCAGCCAATTCCTTTGACTTTGATCCATATTAACAGGTGATTAATTATTAGTTACCTTGGCATTTGCTTTGGAAAAATAACAAAAGCTAAACAGTATTCGATCGACTTCACCTATTAATCATGACCAAAGTAACCGGCCCTATGAGAAACTCGACCACCTTACTACTCCAGTCGCTAATTGAAGAACGGTTGAGCTGATCTCTTCTCTATGCCGAATAATGCTATTTAGCATCTATCTAGTTGATCACAATTTATAGGTTCAAATAAATGAATTATATGACATTACATTTAAGTGAACCATCATTTAATGTAATAGTACTGTTGCCATATAAACTAGTGCCTAACAATAATAGAGATGAATTACATTACTCTGGCAGAAGTGGGTAGGGCCAGCCACTGCCAAAATCGGCATAATATTTTTATAGGGACAATCTCATGCAATCTCCTCTTAAAAAAGAGAGCGGTCACTATATTTCGTCATGACCTTCCAACACATTGATCTTTTCAAAAGTGTCCCTCAAATCTTCATGAATCTTTCGTCACATGTTCTTGATAGATGTCTGCATAGAAGTCTCACAACACTTAATGTAAATAACAATATAGATTCCTCTCTATAATTATTCTTCTAAGAGTGCTAGTTCTCAAGTGGGAGGAATGGGGGATTTATTCTACCCTTTGTTGCATGTACTAGGATAGCTTGGAACCATCACCAAGGAAAAAAAATTTGGCAGCCTGGAATCAACACTAGGAAGGAACACACCTGGCCCTGTCAAAAGGGACTTAACCATATTGAACATAGTAGAATGTGGAAAAAAGGGACATCACATATAAACAATTATCTCAAAATTTAACAAGGCAATTTTAATTACAACTAATCTTTTTCTTAAATTTTTTAAGATGCTTATTATTTATTATAATTTAAACTTGTTTTTTCTTGAAATCAAGAAAAATATTAGTTTTATGTTAACAGCAACTTTTAAACAAATTCAAAGGATTAAAAAATAATAAGAAAAAAAAATTCAAGTACCCTAGCATCCAAAATTAGTACTTATATCAAAAAATAACAACTTATTCACATATTTCTGGCATAAGATTTGGGAGAAATTATTGAAGCATGAATGTGAAACACCCAAGTCCAGTACAATTGAACTGTATTGATTTTTTAGTTTCGTTGATTATTTCTTGGTTTAAACTTTGGCTGTCTGATTGGAAAATATTTGAAGGTAAAATGAGTCTAGTCACCATCGTGCTTATATGTATTAAGACTTTAAAGGAACATTAAAATGGGTCTGCCGTAATCATAGACTCATAGTAAAGAAAAACGATTAGATGTTACGTAATGGATTTGATTTTTGTAGTCCAATCGAGGCCTAAATCACTTTACAACTTGGTACCCAATTATCAATAAAGGTGCACTGGACCAGCATGAATGAAAAAAAATACTTAAGCATCCCATGTCAAATCTAACTTTAATTATTTCCAAAAATTTTGTTACTTTTACAATGCATAAAAAATGAAACCACTACAACAAAATTATAATTTAGCGACAAGGTATTTTGCAACATACAAAAAATTGTCGCATTAAATGATTTAGCGCAACAAATTTTTGAAGTTTCTCCAAAATATTATAGTGAAAAATATAAGTATCAAAAAGATATAAGGCGACATAAAAGTTGTCGTAATATGCCAAAAAGTGTGACAAATAATAAAAATTGTCACAAAAATTATGATAGAAGCAAGGTGCCAAAATATATTTTGGTGGAAAACTTATGGCGACAAATTTTTATATCTTGCAAAAAAGTGTTTGTCATGCGATAGGATTTAATTTTTGTGATAATGAATATTTATTGCTAAAAATTCCATTATTGGAAGAAAAAAATTTGAATAAAAATGATTTTTACAACGGGAAAAAAAAAAAGGGCTGCTGTCAATCTTTCGTAATGTTCACACGTATGTTGTGGCACCTATTTTATCGTAGGGTATAGAAGAATACAATAACACGTAATTCTTGCAAAAAGCTTCAAATGCATGTTATTGTTAAGGTTTTGCAATGCTCAGTAATATTGTGTTCAGATTTTCTGCAAAGATTGCGGCAAAATAAAATAAAATAAAATACCAAAAAAATATAAGGCGATATAAAAAGTTGTCGTAATATATCAAAGGCGCCCAAATAATAAAGATCGTAACCAAAAAGGGAGGGAAACAAGGTGCCTACATATTATTTTGCGGCAAACTTCTAACGACAAACTTTTATTTTTTGTAACAAAGTGTTTATGATGCATGAGAGTCTACTTTTTGTGAAAATGAATATTTGTTACTAAAAATTCTCTAAATGAAGGAAAAATCATACAGAAAAATTCATTTTGCAACAAGCCAAGAATATGGAAAAAAATGGGGGAAAAAAGTGGGAATTGGAAAATTTCGCTCTAGATACTTGACCCAAAATAAAAATGGAAAAACTT